GTGGGCGAGGGGATGGCTGTTGCTAGGCAACCAGCATCCTCCGTCACTATGGCAACCCCCCATCCCAGCTGGGATGCAGCTCGCCCTGATGACGAGGTGATTAGTGGGGGGGAGCGGGGGAGGCAGGCAGGCAGCGGTGACCTGGCGGGCACCCAAACCCACCACCGTCACGCACTGTGCCCAGGGGGCAGGGGCCAACCGTGCTGGACTCCCCGCCTTCCTTCCCCCCCCCATAATCCTTTCGCAGAGTGGGCGGGCAGCTCTGCCGATCAGCAGCAATGGAGAGCCAAAATCCCTGCGGTGCTGGGGAAGGAGGAGCCCACGAGTTGGTGGCTTCCAGGAAGAGGATGGGGAATGGGGATGGGAAGGGGAAGTGGTGAGGGAAAGCAGGGATGGGAGCAGGAATGGGAAGCGGGTGCCCCCCATGGGCAGAGCCCCACACCAGAGCCACGCAGCTCCATCCTGGGCCTTGTCTGCCTCCTTCCAGCTGAGAAATAATGGAAATTTAGGGCCTTGCCTAACAAAGAGGACGAAACAAGGCTCCCTCCACCCTGCAGCACCCATAGCCCCTGATCTCCTCCCAGCCCTGCTCTTGCAGTGAGCCACAGATAATTGCACCAACAAGATTGACTTTAATCCGCACATCCAAATCCCGCTAATCGGCCGCCTGAGCCAGCGCGGCTCCCAGGCTGGAGGCAGCCGGGCGGCTTCACAGCGCTGAAAAAGGTGGCAGCTCCAGCCCTGGCCCTGCTCTGTTCCCCCAGGGACAGGGCTGCAATGTGGGGAGCTGCAGGCGGGACCGGGGGGTTCATAAGGCAGAGGGAACAGGATGCAAAAGTAGGGCACAGCCAAGGCAGAGCAGCCAGGGCACCCGCTGCCTGCCGCCCACCCCCAGCCTCTCCCACGCAGGGCAGAAACCCCGAGCACAACGCTGCTGCTGGCACCCAGAGGTTCTCCTGTGGCTCAGCACTGTGGGCACTGCCCTCGAACAGCCCCTGTTCCTGCATCAGAAGGGACAGTTCCAGTGTCCCCAGCCCCGCGCAGAGCCCAGAGCATCACCGTGAGCAGGGACCAACAGCACCACGACCCCATGGACCACCTCCTCCCATGCTTCCATCCTCCCATGCAGCTTCCCCAGCACCTGAGCCGTGAGATCACCCACGGGTGATGTAGGGACAGGCAGGGAGCAGGGATGCTCGTGACTGGAATCTCCCCATCACTGCCAAGGGGGCAGAGCCCACTGCCCTTCTGCAGCCCCTATCGCTCTGTGCCAGACCACAGCGGTTCTCCTGCAGCTGCCTGCCCCCCATGTGGGGTCAGAAACGGGGGGTGCCCTGTTCTGCCTGCCCCAACCCAGGCACATGTGTTTCCAATGTGGCTGCGAGCTCCAGGGAGTCAGCGTGCTCAGAAAGCAGCACCAAATTCCTTTCCTATCGAGTAATGGGCCCCAGCAGCCTCCGCGAGGCTGGGAGGGGGAGGGGAGCCTCGGACCCTCCAGGACTGGGCTGGGGCGGGGGAAATCCCAGACTAAACATCCCCTGGCCACGGGGATCCCGGCATCCCCCGAGCCAGCCTAGAACTGCACTCCAGCACAGTGTCCTCACAGCCCCAGCTCACCCTGGCCAGTGCCAACATTTGGGGACAGTCCCACCAGCCACGATGGGCATGTGGTCCCCCTGCACCGCTCCCCATCCCTCACTGAGGGTGGACACTAGGCCCTGCAGTGGGGATGCTGCTGCTGCTGGCACCGAGCACCACTGGTGATGGTGGACTGGAGGAGATGGGGAGCATGGGGCGCAGCCATAACAAAGGAGCTATGGGGTTCAGTGCTGGAAGAGGGGTGGCCTGCTCCCAGCGCTTGCCTTCCCCAGGAACCAATTCTGCTGCTCTCAGCAGCTCCGGCAGGGAGCTTTGCAGCGGATGCTGGGAAGCCAGAGGTACCCTGGGCTGACAGCTGCCTCCTGGCCACCGACATGCACCGCACTCAGCCACTGTGCCGCAACCAGGGCTGTGGGGACCTGGAAAGTGGGACTGGTGGGGAGGGGGCAATGCTCAGGCCCACGCCAGTGGACACCCAACAGGAGAGCGCACGCAGCCTGGCAGGAGCTCAGCACGCATGGCACACACCAATACCAGCTTCTGTGTTGCCCACAGCACCCCCACGCGAGCACCCAAGGGACAAGGACAGGGGGTCCTGGAAGGCAGCTGGGTGCTGGGAGGTGGCAGCAGTGGGGCAGTGGTGGGATTTGCTCCCGTAGCAAAGCTGCATTGTAGCCTGGAACCACCGGGCTCCCAGCACAGGCTGCCAGAGGGATCGGGCTGCAGGTGGAACACCCCAGGGTGCCCCCATCCCCTGCCCCTGCCCACCGCATCCCAGCCCCAGGGCACCCCACACGGCCCTCCCGGGGACCAGGCACCCAGAGCTCCCCTCGGGGCTGTGGGAACCGGGAGCAGTGGGGCCCCTGTTCCCTCACAGCTGCAGGCCTGGCTCTGCCGGGACCAGCCGAAGGGCTCCCCGTCCCCCCCCAACCCACCAGCGGTTCCAGACAATGGCAAAACTCCGCCACATCCCAGTACCGGGCCCAGCACCGAAAGTCCCCCAGGCCCTTCCCACCCGCCGCTCCCCACGCGCGGTGCCGCCGGGAGGAGGGAGATTGGGGGTTCGGAGCGGGGCCCCCTGTGCCCCCACGTGCCGCCCGGCGCAGACAAAGCGGGGCCGCGCCCCGGCCCGGTGCGGTGCGATGCGGCGGGCAGGTGCGGGCACCGGGGGCGGCGGGCCGGGCACACCCCCTCCGCCGTCCCGCCGGCCCCGCCCGCCTTTGTGTACCGGGGCTCCGGGCCCGGCGCAGGTGGCGGGGGGCGGCAGGGCGGCGCGGGGGGCGCAGCGCGGGGCGCGGTCCCGGTAGTGGCGGCGGCGGCGCGCTCGGTGCACCGGGCGGCTCCGCGCACAAAGGGCCCCGGGCGGCGGGGACAAAGGGGCGGCGGCGGCGGCGGGCGCGCTCACCAGTCGGTGGGGCTGTCCTCGCCGATCACGTCCTGGTAGGAGGCGAGCAGCTCCAGGCGGTGCGCCGCGAAGCCGACGCCAGCCATGGCGGGGCCGGGATGCTGCCGGGGGACCGGAGGGACCGGCCGCCTGCCCGCCTCCGAGACACTGCCGCAGCGGCCGGGCGGAGGGGCGAGCGGCGGGGAGGCTCCGCCCGCCGCCGCGCCCGGTCCTAGCGCCGCGAACGGCGGCCCCCCCTCCGCCCCGGCCCCCGCCCCGGCCCCCGCCCCCGTCCCGGCCCCCGCTGCTCCCCCGGGGCGACCCCTGGGGCACCCCCACCAGCACCCGCCGCGGGGCAGAGCTCCCGGAACGGGGTGCTAAGCTCGACCAGAGGAGCTGCTCTGCACCTATGGCCCCAAATTCCGGCTGCGCTCCCTCTGAGCACCCCGAATTCCGCGGATGCGCCCTCGGTCCCGGTCTGCTCCGGGATCCCCGTGGCCTCAACTTCCCGCAGCCCGGGCGCCCACAGCCCCGGAGCTTTCACCTCCGAAGACCCCACTCTGCCATCTCTGCCCCGTGAGCGCCGTTGTGCCCTCGCTTCTCCGGGCCCAGCCTTTGTGGGGTTGCCAATAGGATGAAGGGCACCCCTCCATCCCTTCTCATTCCAGCTGCTGTCAAATGTATCCCTCTGTTTCCAACCCACCCTGGGCCCATCCAGCCCTCGACACGGACATCATCTCCCCCAAGCTGTGCCTCTGCGTGAACCCACAAAGTTCCTTCCAAGCTGACCCCGTCTGTGGTTCCGGGGTGTAGCGGTCCCCATTTGCTCCCACATGGGTCAGCGTCCTCCTGCGAGGGACAGACACGGCCTCACGCTGCCCGTCCCACGTCCCCATCCCAGGCAGGGGCCGTGCTCGCAGAAGCCCGAGCAGGGAACTACGGGGTCCCTGCAGGTCAGGGCACCGTGCCCGTGGGCGCAGCCCGCGCCCCTCAGCGCAGCGGGACGCAGAGCTGCTCCCTGCCCACGCCCTGCTCGCAGCACTTCCCGAGCCGGAGCCGCCCTGCGAGGCTGCGGGAGCTGGGCAGCAGCTGTCGAGCAGCTGCCGGCCGGGGCCGCCCCGCGAGCGGCTCGGCTGCCTCGGGGTGGGGGTGGGGGCGGCGCGGGGAGCCGCGGAGCCGCGGGGCTTTGTTCTCGGAGCGGAGCGGCGCGGCCCCTCCCCGGGCTCCACCTCCGCAGCCCACCCGCGACCCTCCTTCCTGTGCGCGGTGAGGGCGGGGGCCGTCAGGAGGGAGCGGGAGGCGGCGGGGTGGCGGAAGGGCAGAAGCGCCGCCGGGTGCGGGGGGGATTCGCCACCTGCAGAAGGGCGAGCTCGGGTTCCGGCTCCTGCCCCCAGCAGAACGTTCCAACGGATGAGCGAGGCGATTTTCCTTACCGTTGCTCATCACTTTATTACTGACCGCTACGGCTGTCAGATCGGAGCGCTGGAAGCGGCCGTCCCCACATGCACTGCTCCGGAGCCCGATCCAGGGCGGCGGTTCCTCGCGCCCGTCCTTCGGGACAGCAGCTGTGCTAACGGGCGGACGGTTGGCTGCGCTACGCCGAAGCACGGCCAGAACCGCTGTGCTCGAGCTGCTCGTGCTGGTGACTCGACCCCTGCATGGGCGCTGAGGCACGGCAGGGACACAGGGACAACGCTGGGTAAGTGGGGATGCCCTTGTGGGGTGGCAGCTCAGCACCATCTCCTGCTCAGCGCTGTTGTTGCTCTGCCGTCTGGATTAATTACTGCCTCCCTGCTCTCTGCTTGCTGAAACTAGGCAAGGGCAACCCAGGGGCACGGGTTCTGCCAGGGGCCAAAGGAGGAGAAACCCCAGGAAACAAAGCTTTCTCTAGCAGCTCGGTGGAGCTGAGTCAGGCCACAGGGCAGAGCTCCAGGCAGGAGCAGGGTGAGGGCCACGTGTGACCTTCCTGGCCCCACCACACCACGCTCAGGCAAAACCACAGTCCCCAAACAGTGGGCACTCGCAAAAAAGTGTTTATTCAAGGCACTAAAAGCACCGTGGCTACATCAAATGCAGCCCAACCGGAGGGTGGGGGTTTGGGAGAGGCATTTACAGTGCTGGGATAGCGGTGGCACACGCTCTTTGGTAGGAAGCAGTTTTCAAGCCTGATGGGAACCCATTAGCCAGAGGTTGGTGTGCACTCCCAGCCCACAGCCAGGGCAGGCATGGCACACAGTCCTGCTCCATGGCACGGTGATGCTGCCACTAGACAGCCCCACGGCCCTCCCAGCCCCATGGCGTGCAGCTATGTGAGGCTGGGTAGGAAACCACGGCAGCAGTCTGCTGAGCTGTGGGGTCACTGTGGGCAGGGGGAGAAGAGCCAGTGCTCAAGTCCCATGCGCTGAGTATGAAGCTGGGGAGGTGAGGGAAGAGTTTGGCAGGGGCTGGGGGCTAGGAGCATCCCTGCCCTGGTGCTGAGTGCCAAGGCAGCTGGGCCCCATCAAAGCAAAGGAGCAGCTCTGCTGCAACCAGACCCTCCCCAGCCACAGCCTCAGCACAAGCATTGTGCTGTGCAGCATCAGGGCAGGAGACCTATGTGGCATCCCCTTCCCCAGGCTCCTGTGTCAGCTAGGGGGGCACAAAAGAAGCCAGCCAGATGGAAGGGGCCAGTGCTGATTCTGCCAGGGCCCGGCCAGGAGTTGCCAGGAAAGAGTCAGGAGCAAGGGGAAGGGGTGAAGTCTCAGCCTGGCTCCCTGGGTCAGGGGAAGGGGTGGGAAAGGAGCATGCAGGAACAGGGGCATGCATGGGCACAGCTGAACTCTTGCCCCTCACACGTGGGAGAAAGCATGGCTCTTGCACAGCGGCTTGTCCTTCTTGGAGTAGAATGTCTTCCCTTCCAGATTGGTCTGGCAGATCTGGGGAGGAGAGCACAGGCAGTCAGGAGGGCTGAGCCAGCCTCCAACATCCCCTCCCATGCTGAGCCCTAGCCATCAGCCCAGAACAGATGTCAGGGAGCAACAGGCTGAGCCACCAGGACAGAGCCAGGTGGGGAAAACCTGACGGCAGCATGCACCCCATGTGAGACACAGCTCACAGCAGGGGGAAGCAGGTAGGCACATGGCTCACCGCGCAGACGAAGCAAGTGTCATGCCAGCTGAAGCCCAGCGCCTCCAGGAACCGGTCCCCAGCATCAATCTTGAAGTCACAGCCACGACACTTGGTGCCAAACATCTTCTCATAGTCTGTGAGCACAGGCAGAGCACTATAGGTCAGTGGTTCCTCCAAGACTGCAACCCCTCATTCCTGTGCAGCAGGGCTGCAGCACACCCCCGGGACAACTTGCTTCCAGGATTTGAAGCACATGAAAGCACTGGGCACATGGGGAAAGGTGGACCTTGCCACCACTGGGCCACAGAGAAGAAGTGAATCTCCCCAGCCAGGATGCAGCATTCATATTTGATGTAAATCATCCATCATCACCATGGCAACACGCCAGCAATGGCACCATCCAGCACCAGGGAGGAGAGGAATGGAAGGTTCACGGGGGTCCCCTTCCTTCCCTGAATCCTGGGGAGAGCTCCACAGCAATTCAATCCTCGGTCCTACCGGTGCGCAGTACCCCGGGGCTGCGTGGGGTGACGTGGGTCCTCCCCTGGTCCTACCTCTCTCACAGTAGGGCTGTCCCTCCTCCATGTAGAAGGCACGGTTGCGGATGGGAGTTTTGCAGGCTGCGCAGGTGAAGCACTGCACGTGCCAGGTCATCTTCAGCGCATGCATGACCTCCTGGAAGAGAACTGCAATCAGCCAGGAGGGAGCACCCCACACCACAGGGAACCCCCACAGAAGGCTGAAAGGAACAGGAGATCCCTGCGGCAGGACGAGAAGGGACAGAGCTGGGGATGCACGGGTAAGCAGGGCGCAGGGATGGGAGGTGCAGGGCAGGCTGAGGGACACTCACCCCAGTGATCTTCTTCTTGCACTTAGCACAGCTGGGCGCATAGCGCGTGTCGTAGCACTTGGGGCAGAAGATGGAGCCCTTTTCCTCGAAGAAACCACCCTCATCCAGCACCTTCCTGCATTGGCAGCAGGTGAACTCCTCGGGGTGGTAATAATGTCCCAGTGCCACGAGGTAGCGTCCTCTGTGGTGGAACAGAGCCACATCAGCCACAGCGGGGCCTGGCAGTGCCCAGGATGGTGGCAGGGCTGCAGAGGCCAGGGCTCACCTGATGATCTTGTTGCACTTGTAGCAGAGGGGGGTGCGGCCGGGGCCCTCAGGTGCCTGCTGAGCTGCCTGCACGATGGAGCTGCGGTTCTGCATGGGGGTCGGCGTGGCCGGCTGGCTGTGCTTGCTCAGCACTGTGCTTGTCTTGTCTGGGGCGTAGCGCTCAGCAAATGAGGGGTCCACAGCCCAGGGTGGGCGGCTGGTAGGGCCAGGGGTGGCAGCAGGGGTCCTGGAGGCTGCATAAACAGAAGCTTCTTGAATGATGTTCCCAAGCCCTTTGTATTCATTGATAAGCAAGATGCATCCACCAGAACCAATCCTACCCATATCCCCACTCCCCTTGCCCCAAACTCAGAGAAAACATTTTTTCTTACCCAATCCTGGTTCTGTCTTCATTGCTGCTCCCGGGGACGGGTCCGGTACGGAGACCTGGCTGCAAAACAACCAGTTAATCCTGTTGGCCACACTCACCCCCAGGACGCAGGCTGGCTTGTGCATGCAGGCAGGACCCCCACTCTGCAGCCAGGAGCTGGCCAAGTCCACATGCCCAGCCAGTAGCTAGTTTGGTGCTGGGCATCGAGCCAAGCGCCTTCAGCCCCACAGCATCCCCAGGTCTGTGGCACCCAGCAGGGTGGGAGCACAGGACCACTGTGCCCTAATGCTGAGGTGCTGTGGGCTGGCCAAGGACTTGGGGCATCACACACAACACTACTTGCTCCAGTGTGACAGTGTCCAGGCACACCTCCACCTCACACACAGCATCTGGTAGTGTGGGGAGCCCTGGGCCAGCTCCAGCAGAGCCAGGAAGAGCAGGGATGAGTTGGTACAACAGGGGGCAAAGTCTGTGCCCCCCCTGCACCCTGCCAGCACTGGACTTATAAGAAGCCAGGGCAAGCAGCACCCAGAGGAGCAAGGACAGTGTCAGATGGAAAGCCAGTGCCTTTGTGCCTCTTGAGGGCAAGGACAAGAAGGAGCTAGCTATAAAAACACAAGTGTTTAACTGCAACAGAGCAAACCAGGCAGATCTGGTCACGGCACGAAGGCAGGAGGGATGGTGGAAAGGCAAAGCTGTGCCACAGCCCTAGCCTGTGTCCTTCCTTGCTTCCATGCAGGGCCTCGAGCGTCAGGAGCTCACCCACTGATCTCTAAAAGATGCACAGCACCTCCCAACACCCCCAGCAGGGTCTGCCAGTGCCAGCACACTCCTCCTCACCCCAGCTGCCCAAGAGACCACAGTGCAGCTCAACCACCCCAGCGCAGTGCCAGCAGTGCCCAAAGGCCTGGATATACAGTCCAGGAATCTATGCTTGCACCCCCCTTACCTGGGCTTTTTAATAAATACATCATCATCTTCCACTGAATGCAGCGGGAAGAAAGGAGGAGACAGGGTCAGTCGGCGGCAGCACGGCCCCACACGGCACGAAGGGACGAGAAGCGGGCAGCCCTCCCTGCTTCCCCCACACCAGCACCCCGGGCACCACACACACACACGGCCAACACACAAACAGCACAGGAACATCACGGCCCGGTGCCACCTCGACCCACAACAGCAGGCAGCTCCAGGCAGCGGCAGGGACTTACGGCCATCAGTGCCCGTCAGCCGGGCCAGTTTGCGGAAGGAGCGGGACTGGGAGGTGCCGGTGCGGGGCTGCCAGTCCTCAGCATCCTCAAACAGACGCAACTTGCCCGGGTCACACGCAGGGGTTGTGGGGGGCTCCACGTGGGGCGGGGGCTGCCTGCGATTGACAGGCAGGCACTCAGCTGGCACTGACCTGACCCTGGCCCTGCCCCGATGGCAGAACTGCCCGAGGGCTTCGTATGCCCAGACCTCCGCCACAGACTCACCGCGGCTCCTCCGAACCACAGTACGACACGTGGGGACTTCTGCGGTGTAGAGAAAACGGCGGCACAAGGATAAATCATGGGCACACAGCACGGAGCATTCCCCACGGCTTGTCCCCAGCCCCACGGTTATGCCAGCAAAATTTGCTTCCTCCAGCTCCCAGCTCCCCTGCAGTCCCACCCCAGCACTGCTGCCCCTCATGCTGAGGTGTCGGCACTGTCCTGGATCTCCTGATGCCCACAGCCAGGCTGTGCCAATGCCACCAGGCACCACTGACTCTTTGTGTCAGGACACTGAAGTGCAGTGCAGCCTCCCTACCGCTAGCAGTGCCCAGGGTCCTGCCAGGGTCACCCATACTGGGGACAGCCCAGCATCAGGGCAAAGCAGCCAGGGACAGAACCAACGTGCAGGACCCTCACAACGAGACGGTCACAGCTGTGGCCCAGTGCCAGTGGTGCCCATTGCAGAGGTGAGTTCAGCGCAGGTGCTGAGGCTCTCTGACCACCTCAGCTCTCAAAAGAGAGAAAGGACAGAGAGGGACAGAGAGCAGGAGGCGACAGGACAGCAGAGGAGAGGAGCTGCCTGCTCCTTACCTGGGCTTCC